TAACAAACTACTTTTAACATTGTTAATTATTATACCATGTGCATTATAATGTTATGATAAAACTTTGAAATCCATCCAATGTTTATCTTAATAGACTCAAATATCTGATTGATGGTCAAATTAGCACTTTTTAAATAATCTGAAGATTTATTAACAAATGATTGTATCTCATATAATTCTTTTTTAGTTTTCATTTGAGAACTTATAATTTGTAAGTATTCGACCAGAATAGTGCCTTGACTTTGATAACTAAAAAAAAACATATATGATAATTATGAATTTTTAATTTAACTTGTTAATACTAAAATCAAATTAACAATAACTTACTACTCAGATATACTAGCGATTTTCCGATACAAAAAGTCTTTTGCTACATAAAATCCAATGTCACTACTCGCTACAGAATAGAAAACTGTGATAGCGTCTTGCTTGCGAATAATAGAATTATCAAGTGACCAATTCAAATATCTAAATCGATTCAATGGTCATTTGTATTATATATTGTACACATAATCAATATAAATACCTGTTAAGTAACCAAGTTTCTGAACTACATCCTAATGTTAAGAGTATATTTTCTTTTTCTGATCCGACATTGGAACGCTGATAACGTTCCCATAAAAAGTCCCATACATCTACACCTCCGTTTTTTATTCCTTGACAATAAATTACACGTTTCAGTTCTGCAGGCAATCTAATATATTTGGATTACAGTTTGTATTTAGTTTAGTTGAACAATGATAAAACTTACATATTATTTTTGTCTATGTCTGTAGTATTCATCCACTTGTTAAATAAATCGAGAGCTTGTTTGGTACATTCCTTAATTTGGTAACGACAGGCTTCGAAAATCACAAGATTTTTAAATCGTACTTCTTCAAAACCATTAAGCTTGATGGTAATATTTCGGACTTTGTTGAACATAGGCCACAGCAGACGTTGCATGTAGTTCTGAAACCACGTTCCATTAAACAATATAACATTAATACTACGAATATGTAAAACGAGAAGTATTCATTTAAAATAAATTAAAATTGACCAGAGTGTTTGACTTATAAAAAATAAATATCAACTTCTATATCCATTAACATATTTAATGATTTTTTATATATACCTATTTTATTCGTAGATAAGTAAAAAATGTATTGTTAAATGTTTAAGACCTACAAAATTAATTACACAATTGTGTAAATCATTAAACTCACTAGGAACACCTTATGGTTTGGACTCCTTTTCATTAATTTATTTATTGAGCTCAAACCGCTTAACGCAGCCAACCACGGTGCATATTCTTTTTCGTGTTTTAAATATTTCAACAGTTTAAATGTGATTCTATAGTCCAAATCACCAATTTGTGAAAAGCTAAGCGAATCGACGATCAACTGCGCTCGATTTAATGTGTGTATAGTTTGATATTCGTTTGGATCATTCAACGTGGAAACGATACCCATCCAGTTTCGTGTGTCGTACAAAACTCTGAATAAACCTAAAAAAAATAACATATGAAAATAATAGATTGTAATTTTTCAAACGTTTTAAACGAAACGAATGAATAAAAATCTATTTTATATAAGACCTACCGGCCATTTGCATGTTATATATAACCCAGTCGTTATCTTTAGACAATGGGATGGTGAGGTTGTTGTTTTCACAATTCAACCATGATTTTGCTTTCGTCTGGTTGAAATCGGACTTCGTAGAAGTAGTCATAGTGAGCGGTATCCACCAACAGCTTTTCTTGTCAGTGCCGTTTGATTTAATCGTTAAAAACCGTTCCTACAACATATTTAAACATATATTATAATATTATAGTATATTTTTTATTAACAATAAATCACATTAACGTATAATATGAAAACTAGCAGTTGCCCGCGAGTGTACCTGTGACAACGTAATCGTGTCCGCCGAATAATCCCTTATGACTTTCAATATGGGATAACCGGTTTGTAACGTCCATGTGTCCATTATCTGTTTCACGGTGAGATTTTTGTCCAAAGTTCCTTGGCGATGAGCTTCTTCCGTCAATGAATTCCACAAATCATCTTGTTCAGCGTTGGCAAACTTGTGCTTGTTTATGTAACTCCTAATACCTTGTTTAAATGTATCTTCGCTTAAGAACTTGTTCATCATGTGCAATAAAAATGAACCCTTCGTGTACGAAATTGTGTCGAAAATTTGTGCTATTTCATCGGGATGTCCAACTTCTACTGACACGGGGTGGGACGATTGAAGGGAATCAAAATTCAAAACATCTAAAAAGTTTTGAATGGTATTGATTTGGAAAGAGTTCCATTCGGGAAACAGCTGTAGTATAAAATAAAAAAAACATAGTAATATTAACATAGTTTTTCAAAAAAAATTTTAAATTAATTGTCCGACTGTAATGAAACTCACAAAATCAACTCCACGCGCTGCCACGTATGTGGCAAATCCTTCGTTTAACCAAAGGTCGGTCCACCATTTCATGGTAACGAGATTACCAAACCATTGGTGAGCAAGTTCGTGAGCGATAACTTCGGCTACTCTGTATCCGTCATCTAACGTACCCTCGTCCGGATCAATTAATAATGCAGTTTCTCTGGATAATAATTTATTATTATGTATTATATACATATATTATTATTTATTAGTTTTTGTAATAGAAGCAAAAATAAATCTTGTCTTTACGTTAATTAATATAATTTTTGCTTGTTATATAAAAAAGCATTTTCATTAATACTTTTTAGGTAAATTTTAATTGTCTAAAATTGTATAATGTATGTTTTGCCTTTTTTGCTTTAATTGGCAATTTTTTTTTTTTTTAATTTATATTTTTCAAAGGTTTTTAACGATTTTACTAAGTAGTATTCAAACAATTTTTAGTTCACATTGGTCTAGGCGGCTAGGAGGAAGTAATGCAAAAGCAGTCCCCTCCCGGTCGTCGGTTCAAACGGAAAAAATAAAGTTCACATAGGTCTTAAAATTTGACTTTAAAAGTTCTATTTCTGTGATATATTTATGGGAAAATTATTCAAATCACACGAGCAATGGCGCTGACTTGTATTTTTTATTTAGTGTAACAAAGTAAAATTAGTGATTACTACCACCCACTCTTAGAGTAAAATAATGACCGGCCACATTATTATATTGAAAATACAACCATCACGAAGCCGCTCGCTTCGCTTCCAATGTATCACTCCTATCAATATTAACCTATTAAGTATTAATTAGTAAAGAGTTATTATTATTTACATAAGTATGTTTTTAACCATTTACAAGTAACTGTCTCTTCACTCCTATGATGGGTCGAATTTTTGTGTAAATTGCGGCCCGGGTATATTTTATACATACGTAAATTGCGGTTTGTATTGTAAACTTTACTCAGATACTTCATAATAATAATATTATAATATATTTTGTTAGTATTTACTGATTGTGTGTACCTGTAAGTGACAAGACCCCAATTCTCCATAGCACCGGCAGAAAAATCAGGTAAGGCCACCATGTCTTGTTTAGATAACGGAAATTGTTCATCAAAATAATCCTCGTAGTACTTTAACACCATCGATCCAACACTTAGAGCAAACATTGTTTGATTGGCTGCGTCCTTTCTGGCTATAACACGGAACTTCACTTCGTCTTCCCGACTGTCCGATTCAATGTATGAAAAATCAGATATCATGTTTGCTAAATCAGATACCGTGTATACTAAATCAGATACCATGTATGCAACTAAATAAGTAGACATGGGTACAGATTCTTCAAATTCATCGAAAACATAATCTGGTTTCAATGGGCTGAAACACAAAATTTTTACAATCACTAAAATATTGTACAAAATCATAGGAATAAATATATTATTTTTACGATCAACAGTATTCAATTGACATAATCTGTATCAATTAGACTCACTTGGGTATTTCTTTTATCATTTTCATATTACTAATCGAATTCAATCCTTTTTTATGACCTAATATTATCTTAAATTTAGCTTTATATGCAGGTTCATCAAAACATGGGAAAGCTCTGCGAGCACTTGCCGGTTCGAATTGTGTTACCGCAAGCCATCTGTGATATAAATATATAATATAATATTTTGACGGTGTTAGCGGAAGAAATTAAATCACGAAAATCTTATTTTTATTTTGTGTGCAATACATTTTATTATTAATGTATTAATGTAATAATAATGTACCTCGTTTGATTGTTTTTCTTGTCCACGTAACTACTTTTATAATAACCCATTAAATTGTCGGTGATATTTCCTGAAAATGGTATGGTCAGCACGTATTCGTTACCGAGCTTAAATTTTTCGGTTGACTTGACGTACAAAAGTTCTTTCCGCGGATATAACGACACATTAGCCACCGGAATGACATTTTCGTTGCTGTTGACCACCACTACATTTTTTTTATCGATTTTCAAATTGTTTGAATGCAAAACTATGGTGTCCGTAACTTCTACACAGGTAATCTAAATACAATAAATAAATGTAGTGTTGTTATAAACTAATGTTATATTTTTGTTTTAGTAAAATATAGATTAGTTTTAAGAAGTTGTAATTAGCGATGCTAGTAAAAAATTGATAAAATATGTATATCATTCTATTAGATATTATTATTTTAAATTTATCAAATTGTTAAAAGTTTGCTATTCAAAATTTACATATTTTATTTTTATTTTAAAATTTTATAAATTTTTAGACACTGTTTTTTCCGAAAACTTAAAATAAGTAGTTGTTGTGACTTTTATCAGGTCATGCATACTCACTTGAATATCGATCAGTCCTTCAAACATGAATTTATTCTCCAAGTGCGTAGTCACGTTTAATCGATAACTGATGGGCTTAAAATTAGTCGGTAATTTGAACTCGGAAATTTCTTTCGAATTTACAACTAATCCCATCAGGGACAAAGCAATGATATATATCATTTTAAATACCACAAAGTCCATTCTAAATTAAATACACGCATAAAACATAAAAAATGATAATAATATAATCGTGATGTACATGTATATACATTTTTTCTAAATTTAAAATATTTAATTTATAGGTATATGTATTGAATTATGTGCCTTGTTCTAGTGTAAGAACTCCATTTACTATCAAGCATTGTTTTCAGACAAATGTAGTTATAAAGTAAATATAAATTGTATGTACTTAATAGTTGATGTGCGTAATCTATAAGTAATTCAATCTTTATTCTAATATGTGTAGTTGCTTAAAATAATAATTTGTCTATATTATAATTCTGTAAAATAATATATACTGTATTTTAAATGAAAATAAAATTGTTATGGGTGGGTAGTCAATATGATATTAACATTTTCAGAAAAATTGTATTGTTTTGTTAAGAAATATTGATAATCAATTAAAAACAAAATTTTAAAACTTCACAATATTATAGGATTATAGTAGGAAAGTGAATAAAACTAAATACTAAATACGAATATTTTTAAAATAATATTCTACGCAGACATAGATACAAGCACAGCTATTGCTGTAAGTTAAAAACGAATGCTATAGAAAGCTCATTTAATAGTCGTTAACTATTAAACTAACTTTTTATTTTATAGAAAAATGCTAATCAACACTCTGACTAAAATATATATTATTTTTTTATTGTATTATTATGTAATCCACGATAAAAAAAAAAAAAAGGAATTTTTGCGATATTAATAAAAACGTAAATTTTAAGACATAAATACATTGGAATTAGTTACAATAATTATCGATTTTAGTATCAAGATTACATCAATAATAATTATAAAGTAATATCATTTTATCATTTTTTCATAATTACATCTTCAGTGGCTTTTAATGTGTTGATTATATTTAGTTAAACACTTCAATCGAGTGAAATTTATTTTTCTACATATAGCCAAAAATACTCGTGGTATTTAAAACTATCCAAAATCAATATTTTTTTTCATTTTTATTTTCGACAAATTTAATTTTAAGCGATATATAACAATATTTACTGTTAGACGAAATAACTTTTACATAATCAAAATTCAAGAAATTAGCTTTTATCAGATAATTATTATGTGGGGCTGGAGGAGAAGTATTGGTACCATGGTTCCTCCTCCAGTCCTCGATATCATAAGGAAAAAAAAAGATAATTATTATGTCCTATAAGCATTATAGGTAGGTACATACTATAATGCAGTTTATATTTCCGTTAGCGGCGGTTATAACTGTAATGTTGTACTCGTATATTGTTAAACGATATTCTAAATTGTGATGCATTACTATATGCCATACCATTTTTATTACATAGACACAACCGCTGCATAGAGACGAATAGCTTTTGTAAAATTATAATATGTTATATCCGTTTCTTTATTCTTTTAACATTGGTTTCCGAACTTTTTTATTAGAAATTAGTAACAAACACCAATCACATACGTATACCATGATATATAATTATTATAACTGAATTATTTAATTCATTTTTCAAAGATTGGGGTTACAATAATATATTGTGAAGATATAAGTACAATATACAACACAACAACACTATAAATCGTAAATTGTGTCTTACCTGATCAACTGCATGTTTTGGTTCGACGATGATCTGATAACGAATGAAATACTACTAAAATTAGCGCCTGCGATGTCAAACAATTATGTACTCACACAACTGGTGCTAATAAAGAAAGAAACATGAATAAAAATATAAGGAGATGGTTCCTATAAAACGTAGATGATGTACGTGCGCACTGCAAGATTATAAGAAGCAATTAAAATTAATATCTATCACTGTAAAACATTCGTTGATACAATATAATAAATAATTTTAAAATATTTAGTGTATTGCCTTAATCACAATATTATTATTTATTATATTAATAGTATATAGTTATTTCGATAAAAAACGAACAGATATTGTCGAGTAGCGATTATAAAATATCAAACTGATGGCTGTAATACACTAAATTTTTGTCATATTATTATTTTGAACCATAAATAAATTAAATTACACAAACCTTTTCGTACGGTCAATGGCGAAAATAATATACTTACTGATACACTTATAATATTGTTACTATCATTACTAATATTATTATAATTATTAATAATGATAATATAATAATGAACTTTATTTTATTTCTATGTTATTGTAATTTATTATAATATGAGACGATCAATTATCGATTACACTCACATATTATATTATTATCTGACGTGCGTCAGTTTAAGTCAAAAATACCAATTAATTTATACAGTAATGACTAAAATTTAATTTTTCTCCAACATGCACACGCAGCGTGTAATAGTATACTCACTTTGCATTTTTATTCATGTACCTAAGTTATGTACTTTAAATGTCGTGTATGGTTATAGCGTTTATTATTTTACACTTATGCTAAACTTATTTATTTAGTATTTTATCAATTAAGATGATTAAGTCTTTAACACAAACTATGTAAAATAACAGAGTGGCATTTATTAAGTAAAGATTATAATAATTAAAGAAGTACATAAACATATGTTCAATATTTCAACAAAATAATTATATAAAAAGAATAATTAAATAACAAAACATAACAGTACATAACAGAGTAAGCATAAAAAAAAATAAAAATACGGATTAAAATTAGTATAAAATATAAACTTTAATCAAGTATCCCAGTGATAAATCATGAAAAAATGTTAAAGTTACTAATTGTATAAGATAAGTTAAGCATACCTACAATTAACCGAAGAATTTATATTGTTTTGAGTATAAGTAGGCCAGTAGATAATTAAAACATAGAATAAGAACAAAGAGACAAAAAAAAAAAAAAACATTTCTATAAATGTAGGCATTAAATTTAAAATTTTTAGACAGTTAATTTTATTGTTTTTATTGTTTTTATTGTTGAGTAGATAATATTAAGTCCAGATAACATTACAGCATGTTTTCTGCATAATAGAGAATAGAATTTTTTGACCGTCAAGTATAATATCATGACTAATTTCATTACTATTAATCTTAAAAAATTAAAAATTAAAAAATCAACATTGTGAAGATTCAATCATTTTAATGTCACAAGCCTATTACGGAACCCGAGAAATAGATTTACTATATATGTATTTTAATTCATTACAATATTGTCTAATAAATCTTTATTTGCGTAAAGCCTCTATAAATATAAATACTTCTGTATTTTTATTGATTTATTATTAATAAAGGATATCAACTAATAATCATAATATGTACCAATAATAAAAACCAACAGTACTTTTAATATAATAATGAAATTTATTTTTGTTACAAAATACACTGTAATAGTGTAATTTTATTATTTAAACTGCATAAAATGTGTAATAATTTATAATTCAACAACTGTCTTGCATACTTATACAATTAGTTATATCTAAATTCTATGTAATAAAACTTATCCATTTTACATTTATTTAAGTTTAATAAGTAATTATTTAAATAATCTTTTGATAATAATTAAATTTAGAGATATTTATTATAATATTAATTCTCAAACTTATAATAAATTTGGTTCATTGCAATATTTCTCAAAATAATCTATTGAACTAGTGATATTAATAAACTCGTATATATATAATTTAATATTTTTTGTGTTAGTTAAGCGTAAATTATAATATAATTATTAAAATTATCGAAAAGTAATAACCATAATAACACTAAGAATTCATAGAGAAATCTACGATTATTTCTTAGATACGAATCAAAACATTAACATTTTTATAAACGTATGTATATACGTAAACAACAAAGAAAAGTATGAAAAAATACGGAGTAGATAGTCGCATTAAATCGAATGGCATCATCTTGACATATTATATATTCGTGTAGGTTACCTGAGATAAAAATGTACTCTATTTGGCTATGTGAATAATAGTAAAAAGACAAAAAGAAGATAGTGATACAATCAATATCTGTGACACAAGATGAGGTACGTATATCATAATAATTACTATTCAATGGATTTAGGTACAAGTGTTCTCAAAATATATCTTAAATAATTTATTAATTTTTTTTTTTTTTTTTGGCGAAATCAGAGTATAACCTTTGACAGAATACGGGCACGATGATAACAGGCAAGGATCATTTGGGTATATATCAATTGCGCCGATCAGTATTTCAATGTTATAAATTGTGTACATCAATTGCGCTGATCGATTATTAAATATATTATTATATAAACGTGTACTCGTATAATACAGTTTCTATTGATTTCAAAAGTTTTAAAAATGATTCAACTTCAATCATACATAAAAATAAATAGCGTCGAGAAAGAAAATAAAATTAAAAATCGTAAGTATAAAAAACAAAAAACTATAGCTGACGAAAATATATCCAAATATTTAAATGGAAATTTAGATATGTTTGAATTTGTAAAACGCATAAGCTACTACAACAAAGAATTTTTATAAGGTAATTAAATAAAAATCTTCATTTATATCTACATTTTCTATTTTTAATTTATTTTTTTTAGAAAAGTAAATATTGACACCAACATTAAGACAATTTGAGTATTCCACCGACATGACAAATTATTAGACATTGCAAAATGAAATATGATATTTGATCATTTGTTCGACATATTTTTAATTGCCTCACAATCTGATAAAGCTAATGTTGCCTGATAAGTCACTTTTATATCAAATATTTTAAAACTTTTACAGTTATTGACTTTTAGATTATAAATTGCATAAATTGTGTGTAATGTATATATTTTTGTTTATTGTTGTACAAATTATTATAGAAATAATATAATTAATATAATATTAATAATAATATAAGTTAATATTTAATTAATATAATATAATATAATTATTATAAAAATTAAAACCAATTCAGACAGTTTGTGCCATTGTTAAATTCTCCGGCGCAATTGGTGTATACCTTTTTAATACACTATTTTTATACCGGTGCAATAGATGTATACTATACAGGTAGTGTCCCAAATCCGGCGCAATTGACAAACACCGAGTCATTTTAGTGAAAAACGGAAACCCCTCTACTTAGCAGACCATACCTTTAGCGCGCGGCAATACCATTAAAGATATCGAGCGTGTGCAAAAACAAGTCCTCGCCATCGATGACAGGCGACGTCGAATCATTGGCGCCGGAAACACCGTACGACATCAAATGTCTGCAATGCTCAATAGTCAGTAGTTTCCGATCACGGTGCGTCGGTGCGGGTGCACGCCGCACAGCATCGGCGGCGACCGGATACAAACATTGCGGACAGCGCGTCTGTTATAGACTGTCAGACGGGTATAAAATTACAAGCGTTAATCATACATTCGTATATCAATATTTTTAACGAACAATTTTTTTAGATTCTAGGCAATAGCTCTGAGAAGACCATCGAGTGCTACATCCGTTAGTGCGCACCAATGTTTTCAATTTAATACATTTTATTTATTGTCGATATTTATTGTACTCGTAGACGTGGGCAGCAATTGTTTTTATCATCCCATTTTTTTTTCTTCATACAAACGGCATACACACACGATCAGTTAGTCAACATTTTCAAACCGTAACTCAAAAGACAAAACTTAATAAAATATTATTGTCTGTACTCTGCGTGCTGCACCGTTATAAACGAGATCCGGAAATCCTAGTTATTTTTAGTTTTCGATCGACTACAATATACGCACGTCACATAAATCTTACAACAAACTTTAATAACGAAAAGTTCTTTTTTGGAACGGACTTATTTGAAACGCAGAAAACATTAGTTTGGTAATCTAACGCGTTTTTCGAATAAGCGAATTCTTATCGAGCATTATGCAGTGGCCCGGTTTGGACCCGTTCGGCCCTTACAAATCCGTCCAAACCTTTCGGCTTTCGGGGGGCAGCAAGAGCACGCACCGCTACGCCCCACCCGCACGCAAATGGGTCGGTGTTTTGCATATCGACAGACTTTTTCATTTCGTTTTCGCATTTGTTTATCGGCCGAGCCATTTCAAGGGCCCAAGGGCCTTATCGTTTTCGTTATATTTGTTAGCGAATGTGTATTTTACGGGCGCTCGGAATCGGACCACAATTAACCTTTCATCAAAAAGGTATACGGTAACTGGGCCACTTCCATTTTACATTTATTATAGGTAAACCCGGTGATTGGGCCATCATTAAATTTTTAATTTTTAATAAAATTATATTCAATTTAATACATCACATATAAATTACTATAATACCTAACACTTCAGTGCACATGAAACGACCACGTGCATTATCTCAAAATGTAATGAATACTAAATGATATAAGATTAAAAAAAGCCACCACCAAATAAAATGGGTAAAAATAGCCAAAAGCGTAATTTACAAAAATTATATAACATCGCTATCGTTTAGTTGATTGCAACTATACTATCCACATTTAGTATTACAATAAAATTCAATTAATTAACATACATTTATTTAATACATTTCAAGATTATATTTTTGACACCTATATATTTGTGACGATTCTATTTTCCCACCGTATATTATATAGACGTTATGGTCTGAATCTATAACTCGAATTACAAATAATACTGTCGAATCTTTTCGTTCGCATTTCAAATATAATTTTTATATGTCA